CATGGTGAGAAACATCGTGGATGAGAGCGTGGAGCGAAGAGGGGAAGCAGCTGGGAATCCTGGGTGTCGTTGGGGGCTCCTGGGGATTTTCGGGGTGGGCCTGTCAGGAGCTTCTTCGGGCCTTTCGGGGCCTGTCATGAGCCGCCTTGAGACTTTATTGGGCCTCCTGGTGCTGCTGTGTGGCAATTTTGAGGGCCTTCTACCCATTATCACCCACTCTTCGGCGTTTGGGGCGCTCCTGGGGCGCTCGTGTGAGTCATCGGAACCCTCTTGGAGTCATGCTGCGATCCATTTGGAGTTATCTGGCCCGTTCTTGTAGCCATGTCGATGCATCAGAAGGGCATCGACAGCGCCCGTCAAGAAGCAGCGAGTGCGCCGCGTTAGCAGACTGGATCGCGACCGCCGTGGGCAAGCAATTGGGTCCTGGCCGCGGCCTGCGTGCAGGTGCTCCTGGGCTGCAGTCCCACGCGCGCGCGTGTTCGAGCACGTGCCTCCCCACCAACGGTGATTGTCACGGCTTCTGGGGCCGCCACGGGCCGCGGGGCTCGTTGCGCGCGCACACGCAGCTGTGCGAAGGAGACGCGAGAGGGCTTTGCCGAAAGTTCTTGCGTCGCGTCCGACGCGAGGGAGAAGGACCTCATCCGCCCTCATTCCCCTCTTCCTTCTCCCTCCGTCTCCCTTCGCATACCCTTCTGGGGAGAGTGGGGATCAGATGTAAGGAAGGAGGAGGAAGACGGATGACGAGGATGGGGAGGGAAGGTGATATGAGGGATGAGACAGGGTGATAATCCCAATTATGCAGCCGCCTGGAATTAATCAATTAAAGTTAAGGTATCAGCTACTTCCCACTTCCACTCCTCCTTCCGAGCCTTCATTCCCCTCCCCGCCCCGAAGACGCCCAGCCGACCACTCAGGGCGATGCAGTACGTGCTCAGGTCGTCGATGCTAAATTGGGTGCTCCAGTTCTGGAAGCTCATCTTCTTCAAGGGGAGGCGCCTCTCCCTGCGATGCCTCCTCCTGTCCATCCGCCTCGTGCCTCCTCCGCCCTCCCCGCGTCCAGTCCTTCCCATTCCTCCTGACCTAACTTCTTTTCCCCCTCGTCATAGTCAGCGCCGTCTTCTTCCTCCTCATCCTGCCTCCTGCTTTTCTCCCGCCATCCTCCCTCCCCCTTTCCCTCCTCATCACCTGTCGCCCTCCACCCTTCTCGCTGCTATTCCTTGTTCCCGTCCACCCCCCCTCCTCCCTTTACTCCCGTTCCTCCCCCCTCATCCCTCAGGGAAAAGCGCTCCGCACAGCACCGCTTGTTTGGAACGTCCTGTCGCTTGCAGCACCAGCTGGGGCACAGTCGCCCCCACCAATAGCGCCGTCTCCTGTTCAGTCGCAATCGGCATACTGATTTCCATGTGTGTGCCCGCGCCCACGACGACCACGCCCGCACAGCCCTGCTGGGCCGATCCACGGATGCGCCGTTTAGAAGCTGGGCGTCTTGCTGACAGAGTTTCGCCCGGCACGGGGCGAAGGCTCCAACAGCTCTCGGGTGCTCTCCACAGCAGGGCTCGAGCTGAACGATGCTTTGGCGATTTCTTGGATGGTTTTCGTTTCGGCATTGTTTTGCAGCAAAGGCGGAGCGAAGACAGACCGAAGGAAAGCGAGAGCAACACGAAAACGAACAAAAACTCTGTAGTTCGAGCCCTGCTCCACAGTCCAAGATAGTCGCAGGATTAAAGTGTACAAGTCACACGTTGGGAGCTCCGCGCGGATGTCTCTGATCGGCGCCCAGCCTCCCTGGCGGCGCCTCTGGCGCGCCGCCCCCGTCGCGCTCCGCGCGCCAGGGGCCGAGGGCCCAGCGCAGGTCCAAGAAACCCGCGCGGACCTCCCAACATGTATCTGTATGTCGTTGTTTTGCCCCTCGTGGCAGAAGATCGAGGTCGCGCGGACCTCCCAACATGTATCTGCATGCCGTTGTTTTGCCCCCTCGTGGCAGAAGATCGAGGTCGTGTGGGGGATGGTACCCCAATCTTCTTCGTGCTTGTTGGGGGGAGGAGGAGGAGGAGGAGGAGGAGGAGGAGGAGGAAGAGGAGGAGGAGGAGGAGGAAGAGGAGGAGGAGGAGGAGGAGGAGGAGGGGGAAGGGGGAGGGGAAGGGGAAGGGGGCGGTGGAGGGGGAGGGGGAGGATGCCCTCGAGTGGCCTTCTGGTTTGGGGTGCCTCGGCCGGCGGAGGGCCCCGTGCTCTTGAGGGGCGCTCCTCTGCCTCGGGCCCCACCGCAGGCCTGCCCCCTGGCGCATCAGTGGGCACCTTTGTCCTCCGTCCTCCTCCTCCTCCTCCTCCTCCTCCTCCTCCTCGTCCTCCCTCCTCCTCCTTCTGTTCCTCCTGCTCCTCCCCCTCGTCAAACTCCTCTGCTCGGCAGCGCCGCAGGGCCCCGCCGCCCGCCATGCCTGCCGCCGCGGAGCCGCGCCCCCCGTCGGGCCGCGGCGCTCGCTGGAGGCGAGGCGTGCTGCAGGCCGACAGTGCCCAGTCTGCCCGCGCACCCCTCGTCCAGGTCGGCCGCTGGCTCGCGACGTCCGGAGATCCGCACTTGCCCTCTGGGATGAGATCGTCTCCGTGGATGCCCGAGCTCACGTCCGGCAGCGGCTCGTGGCAGGGCTCGGCCGCCTCAGGGCTCGTCTCTGGCCCTGGCTTCCGAAGAGCGCCATGCACGTGCTCCTGCCAGGCTTGCTCTGCGTTCCTGGCACCGTGCATGCCCTTCTTTACCTCCCCGCGCGACACGGGCGACACTCGCGCGGAAAACCAGGCAGATGGATCACCACGATCCAGTCGTCGAGGTCCGCGCGGAAGAGAGCAGCGCGTCGTTCACCGGCAGATGTCGCCATCTATTTTTGGCCGCAGAGAGAGAGAGAGAGAGGAGAAAGAGATCGAAGAAGAGAGAGAGAGAGATGAAACACACAGAGAGAGAGAGAGAGAGAGAGAAACTTATGAATGTAATCAGATAAGGGAGAGAGAGAGAGAGAGAGAGAGAGCGCATGTGTGTGTTACTTCTACAGACCCGTATCTCTAGAGAGAGGAGGAGGTAGAACGAGATAGAGAGAGAGGAGGAGAGAGAGAAAGAGAGAGAGAGAGATGAACAGAGAGAGCGAGAGAGAGAGAGAGATGAAGATGAGGATGATGAAGAGGAGGAGGAGGAGGAGAAGGAGGAGAAGGAGAAGGAGGAGAAGGAGGAGGATGGCGACCAGCGGCGAGCCTGTGTTGTTGCAGTGCTCTCGGTTGTGGGTGTTGATCGTCACGGCTGCGGTCGTCTTGCCCCAAGCCGTTGAAAAACATTATCGTGGCAGCGTTTCTCCTCGAGCTCACTCTCGCGACTATTGCGCATGAGGTCGGGCGGAAGCATCTTCAACGTCGCCACGTCGTAGACCGAATGATTTACCAGGATGCTCTTGACACGATCGTCGTCGATGCCGTTGATCTGGACCACATCGACGGGTTTCGCCGTCTTTCGAGCTGTTATGTCATGCGCTCGTTGACCTCTACGAGGGTCGGCCAGGGAATCGAAAGTCCGTTGCCGCTTCGTCATCGTTTCTCTACCGTCGTCTCAGGTACCATGCTCTCGTCCTCCTCCTGCAAAACAGGACCAGATCGCATGCGGTGAACCGACATGTGTGCAGCGGGCGCGGCAGCCGATGGCAGATCATCTACAGCCAGCAGTGATCTAGCGGTGCTGTGCAAACTAGAGAAAATGGTAGCGTTCTCACCTTTTTGTTTTCTAGCGCTTCGACGCGGGAATCCACGCAAGGGATCATAGATATGGCAGCGCGGATCCAGCGTAATTCATGAGGGGATCGTGGCTTTGTAGGGCGGACCCAGCGTAGTTTACCAGGCTTCGTGGCCTTGTGCGCGCGGACCCAGTGCAATTCTTGTCGCGCATTCCCACCAGCCCATCCAGAAACAGAAACGATGCCCAGGCGAGTTACATTGATTAGGGAAGTGTGGGAGCATGCAGTGGGACAAAGAAGGGGGCAGCCGTCAAACTTCGGGATCAGCTTGAGCAGGCCCAGGGTCAACCATCAATGTTTTCGCGGATCTTTCGATATTGGGAGCCTCTTGGCAGCTTACTTGGACCATCTCGGGGCCATTTGTGAGGCCTTTGGGGCTTTCTCGGGGCCCTCCTCTTGGGGCCATCCTGGAGGCCATTGGTTATTATCCCGGCAAAGCAACCTAACAGCGATGTGTAGAAGCATGTCTGGAAGCAGTCCCCTTAAGATTAAGATGAGAATCCAGTTGTAGAATTCTGCTGTTCTCGCAGTCGCAGTCGCAGTCGCGATGACAGTCGCAGTGGCAACGGCAGTCGCAGTCACAGCCTCAGCCTCAGCCTGCCTCAGCATCAGCCTGCCTCAGCCTCAGCCTCAGCCTGCCTCAGCCTCAGCCTCAGCCTGCTTCAGCCTCAGCCTCAGTCTGCCTTCAGCCTCGGCCTCAGCCTCAGCCTGCCTCAGCCTCAGCCTGCATCAGCCTCAGCCTCAGCCTCAGCCTGCCTCAGCCTCAGCCTGCCTCAGCCTCAGCCTCAGCCTGCCTCAGCCTCAGCCTCAGCCTGCTTCAGCCTCAGCCTCAGTCTGCCTTCAGCCTCGGCCTCAGCCTCAGCCTGCCTCAGCCTCAGCCTGCATCAGCCTCAGCCTCAGCCTCAGCCTGCCTCAGCATCAGCCTGCCTCAGCCTCAGCCTCAGCCTGCCTCAGCCTCAGCCTCAGAGCCTCAGCCTCAGCCTCAGCCTCAGCCTTCAGCCTCAGCCTCAGCCTCAGCCTCAGCAGCCTCAGCCTCAGCCTCAGCCTCAGCCTCAGCCTCAGCCTCAGCCTCAGCCTCAGCCTCAGCCTGCCTCAGCCTCAGCCTCAGCCTGCCTCAGCCTCAGCCTCAGCCTCAGCCTGCCTCAGCCTCAGCCTGCCTCAGGCCTCAGCCTCAGCCTGCCTCAGCCTCAGCCTCAGCCTCAGCCTCAGCCTGCCTCAGCCTCAGCCTCAGCCTGCTTCAGCCTCAGCCTCAGTCTGCCTTCAGCCTCGGCCTCAGCCTCAGCCTGCCTCAGCCTCAGCCTGCATCAGCCTCAGCCTCAGCCTCCTCAGCATCAGCCTGCATCAGCCTCAGCCTCAGCCTGCCTCAGCCTCAGCCTCAGCCTGCTTCAGCCTCAGCCTCAGTCTGCCTTCAGCCTCGGCCTCAGCCTCAGCTGCCTCAGCCTCAGCCTGCATCAGCCTCAGCCTCAGCCTCAGCCTGCCTCAGCATCAGCCTGCAGCCTCAGCCTCAGCCTCAGCCTGCCTCAGCCTCAGCCTCAGTCAGCCTCAGCCTCAGCCTCAGCCTCAGCCTCAGCCTGCCTCAGCCTCAGCCTGCAGCCTCAGCCTGCCTCAGCCTCAGCCTCAGCCTGCTTCAGCCTCAGCCTCAGTCTGCCTTCAGCCTCGGCCTCAGCCTCAGCCTGCCTCAGCCTCAGCCTGCATCAGCCTCAGCCTCAGCCTCAGCCTGCCTCAGCATCAGCCTGCCTCAGCCTCAGCCTCAGCCTGCCTCAGCCTCAGCCTCAGCCTGCTTCAGCCTCAGCCTCAGTCTGCCTTCAGCCTCGGCCTCAGCCTCAGCCTGCCTCAGCCTCAGCCTGCATCAGCCTCAGCCTCAGCCTCAGCCTGCCTCAGCATCAGCCTGCCTCAGCCTCAGCCTCAGCCTGCCTCAGCCTCAGCCTCAGCCTCAGCCTTCAGCCTCAGCCTCAGTCTGCCTTCAGCCTCGGCCTCAGCCTCAGCCTGCCTCAGCCTGAGCCTGCATCAGCCTCAGCCTCAGCCTGCATCAGCATTCAAAATGTGGCCCAGGAATGGAGTTCTGGGAACTCGAAGGCCACGAAGTGGCCTACAGTTGGCTCCGGGCATTCAAAATCATGCCCAAGAATGGAGTTCTTGGAACTCGAAACCACGAAGTGGCCTACAGTTGGCTCCGGGCATTCAAAATCATGCCCAAGAATGGAGTTCTTGGAACTCGAAGACCA